ACTTTATGATTATATATTTTCTTTCTTTCCATGATGGCTGGTGAGGCACTGCCTCACCTGCCTCCCCTGACCGCACATCACTGGTGAACACAGTAATATAATTGTGGATTTTTCTTGAGAAAATCTTTCATTTATCTGGACTAACAGAACGGTTCAAACTGATTATAAACAGAAATGTTAATTAATCATCATAAATGTTTTGCAGTGATTTCTCTTAGAGCCTATCAGAAGAAAAGCTGAAGAGATGTTATCATATTCTGTTGTTGAACAACCACAGAATTTAACCTTGACTGGCGCCTGGTTGGAAAGTCTTTATCTTTCTTCCTTTCTCCGACTCATCTTACGCCTGAGGGCGGAACCAAAGTTCGTCCGTTTCTATTACTAACCACGGACGTCTTTGAGCGCACACTTCTTCCGAACTCCAACTAGGAAGGAAAGCTGAGTTTTCTCTCTCGGGAGAGACTCAGTTTGGCCTGTTGGGTCTCAGCCCATGAGCCAATTAGGGGGGACCTAACAGCCGAGGCTCGGCACGCCAGCCAGCCCCACCCCGAGGCTTCAATCTCCAAGTGTGTTTTTAACTCCCAAGGGGAGATTTTATTTTGAAAGAAGGAACCGGATGTACAGCTTGAATCTTTCTGGCTTGGACTGAAACAGACGAAAAGTTACCTGAAATAACACCTTTCTCTCCAAGGAACAGTGAGCGAGCTGATTAAAAAGTTCCCTGACTGATCGGAGGTGAGACAGTTGCTACCCAGGGGTTGCTTAAGAAGCCATCACCAGGTAAAACTGACGTGTTCCGGGTGACGTGTCATGTGGAAATCTTAAGCACAGAAGGGACGTGCTGACCCGGTTGACCACATTTGATAAAGTAAAATTAGTACCCTACTAACCTTACTTTCATCCTTTACTTTGTTCTTTATTTGCCAAAACTTAAGCTGAAGGTGCCAGTAAAATTGTTTGGTTGTAACATCAGAACTGACGTTTTACTGTTCTATATAAGTAATCTTAGTTGATGTGAATTAAAATTCAGACGCAAGTTTTTATCTCTTAACTTTGATGCTTGTTATAGGAATAACCACAATCAGGTGTAACTTGTGATCTGTTCAATTTGTGTAAATAAATGATTGCATAGTCTTTTATGAATCAACTTGAACTCGTCTGAACGTTCACTTATTGTGTCACTTTTCACTTAGCACAGTCAAGATAAGGCTGTGTCCAGGAGGTGGACTGAACGTACTGGGGCATTCATATAAATTAAATCACCAAAATCCAAAATGGGAAGGAAGATGGCAGTGATAAGCCGCTTCCTAACAGCCAAGGAGAAGCAAAGCTTATTCCTATAAAGGAAGCCCAATTGCATCCTCAATTTTTTAATTAAGGAATCAATGTGCATGGCATGAGTTAGGATTAGGATTTTATAGAAAAACATTTGTGTTTCCAGAATTATTTCCCTGTTTTGTTTATTCCAAGATATAGATATAGAATTAGGATTTCTAAAAAATAAATTGCTGAAATCTACTTAAGTTCTTGAGTAGCCAGGTTGAGAACATTTCTTTACTACAATTGTATCCACAGTCCCATTCTTTCAACCGTAACAGATCGCTCAAGGCCATAGTCAAAAGCCGAAACATAAATCAGCTGGTAAATTAAAAGCTTTGTCCTTCAGCTCAGCTTCAGCACATTGCATCAGTTCAGCAATTGCATCACTTCAGAGTCACAATCCTTCAGTCTTCTGTCCCATCTATATCCACTCATGAACAAGTCCACAAGAAACCTGAGCTCCTCCACTTGGGGGCAGTGACTCAATCCCAACCCAGAGGTGGAAATCTAGTCTGTTTCTGTGAAGGATTGTTGTCTCAGACCAGAAGGTGTTGATTATTTTTTTAAATTTATTCTTCACATTTGACTGCAAATGGCTCCATTGCTTGCTGGAAGTTCTGGCTCAAAGTCAACATGTTTACGACGTTCATAAAAAAGTCCACAAACTGGAAACTCCCTGCCCCTTGGCTACACCAAGAAACTCTGTACATATGCTTCTCTGCATCAAAGAGAGCCTTTAGATGGGGTTTGGGGTATCTGGTAAGGATGCCGTCTGAAAACCATCCAATGGAAATGTTTCAGACATGTCCAACTGTGAAGAGACTATAGTAGAATTAGGACTCAGAGTCTGTGTTAGTCGGTTGGTTGGTAACTTAAAAGATAGAAAACAGTATAAAATACAGATTAAAACATTAAATAAAATGATGCTACCCAACAATATTTTAAGAAATTATAAGAAAACAGTTTTWATTTAAAACATTGTTATTAATCACGTAAAGCTATTGTGAAAGTGAGATTTTATGATAGTGAAGTTCTTACAAACAGGATCCAGACTTCATAAATAAAAATCTAACTAATCATATGTTTAAAAAAACATTTTAATTTCTGCCTTATGTTTGAGTTTTAATGAAACGCATAAAAAAACACCACTGTTGACTGAAGAGGACTAAAAGACGCTTCACATGATGACACTTGGTGGCTTTTCTTCATGTCATAGATTCTGCAGATTCTGGTCAGGGCCGTGGTGGAGAACTTGACCGACAGCCAGGGCGTTCTGGCGGGAGTCTTGGCGCCCAAACTGAAGGAGCTTTTTGGTCGAGTCAGTTCACGGCACAGCAGCGACGCTGAGATTTGGAGGCAGTACGCCCAGCTGTATGGTGGAGGCCTCGGAGCCGACCCAGGGGACAACGAAAAGGTCAGTGCTGTTCAGTCTTCTCATTAGAGTTCCCTAATAATTTACTGCATCCATTTATTAAAACATTTTGTAGCCAGCTTCTCTTCAAGTTTAAAGGCTGCAGTTTCCTTATTTACCTGAAGGTGGCAGTGTTGATTTGAACCCTTAAAGTATATTTTGGCCACTTTGGAAAAAATGGAGTTTATTGAGCTGATGAGCTAATGGCTAGTCTGAACACAGCTGCCAAATTAAAACAATTTAAATCTCCAAAACTTCAAATCAGTTCACGCAAAAGCAATTTTAAAGACTTTTGCATTTTYATCAATAGTTATTTACTTTAATTATGTGGGTGTTCACTGACATTATTAATAGTTCTCTACACAGGGAACTGTTAGTATAAATGTAATATTTTCTGACAGATTAACTGTAAAGCAAATGTGACAAAGGTGTGAACTGCTATACATTGATTGAGAGAGATAAAATCCTATAAATATTAAGTCTTGTTGGTTGTTAGCTCATCAATCCTGTTAGAATCAAACTGTTTATATAAACTGAGGTTGCTCAAAAAGATCATCTACATCAGGTAAAATATTGATAAACTTTCTATAGAACCCCACTTCAACCTGTCTGAAGTATCCTTTTAGGTCAGAGAATATAATCTTTGAATGTGTTTGTCTTTTTGTGGCAGTAACATGATGGTGAGCGAGTGTGTAAGCATGTGTACATGTATTTGTTACCTTATTGGGACAATCAGATCATTTTTCTGGGGACCCACTACCTTATAGGGACCTAAGCCCATCAGGGGAAATACAGTTGTTGGKTTAGGTTTAGTTTAGGGTCAGGTATGTATTCAGGTATGTCCTGGTAAAGGTTAGGTTAGGTTTAAGGGAAAGAAATGACTGGAAGATTAATGGAAGGTATAGAAGTACAAACATGTGACAGACTGAGTAAAAACACTAGTTCTGCTTGTGTTTTCTTCAGGCTCTGGGGTTCCTCTCCAAAGCTCATCGCTGTGAGGTTCAAACAGGCGGCTGGGAGAAAGACCCTTTCCTGTTCAAGGAGGTGATCCAAAGAGCCATCCACCTGGGAGAAGGTGAGAGCAACACAAGGCTGTAATGTTACTGACATAGAGTCCAACACGTCTCTGAAGGTCAGAAACAAAGGATGTGCTGTCAGGACTCTTCACTGTAACACAGCTGTTGTTAATGCAGCTTTGTGTCCGTGTTTGACCTTTACTGATAAAAATAACATTAACCTAAAGTTACAATCCAGCGCAACGGTTTTCAAACTTTTTTTTTAGYAGCGTCTGCTCACCTCAGCCGTTATCGCCGTGTTAGTTCATCCCTGATTTAAGGCGGCGCCTCTTCCTGTCAGCAAACTCTTATCTTTTCTGAAAGAATTCAATTCTTTCCTCTCTGCTTGTCATCACTTCTGTCTGGGTCATGCACCAGCCGACCAGTAAAGAAGAAAAAAAAAAATGACCCAGTCTAATTCTGTGCGGTCCATCTGGTCACCATGGAAATGAGGTTTGTGTAACATCAAAACCGTTCCAAGTTCTGGAGACGTTCTAGAGAGGGGAGGTTTGTGTAAACCCAGATGTTGGCAGAGTATAACTCAGAYTTGTTTTTACATATTTTACAGCCAGACTTGTTTCAGAAATGTTCATGATGTCAGCTGCTGTGAATGTAGCAGCAAATGTATGAGCATGTAGCGACCGTGTGTGTGTGTGTGTGTGTGTGTGTGTGTGTGTGTGTGTGTGTGTGTGTG